ATATATATATACATACATGTATACATATATGTACATACATATGCATTTATATATATATACACACACATATATATGCTTAAATATATACATTCATATATATATATATATATGTGTGCACACGTATGTATACTGAACTACTTACATATATATCCTTAACTGCTTATATACGCATGCATATATACATATATCTAGACATATGCACATATAGACACAAAGAGAAACATACCTATATAGACTCATACCTACATAGATTGATAAAAATGTACATGTATATGTAGACATACATATATACATATATTTATAGACAGAGACCTATATGCATGTAGACACATACAATATATGGGCCTACATACATTTATAGGCACATGCATATATGCATATACACAGACAAGTACAATATATAGACACATACATATATAGACACATATGTATAGGCGCACATATATATACATATAGACATGCGTATATATACATTTATACCCATATATATACATAGATATATAGATAGACACATATATACGTATATAGACGCACACATCTATACATATACATCTCTTGCCATATACGTATATATCGACACACACCCACATACGCACTCCGACACCCATCTATATTGGCACACCCCTGTGCACTGCCCCAGGGGCTCCCCGCCGCCCCCCGCACCCTCCGGAGCCGCCGGGGCGCGTGCAGAGCGCTCCCCCCACCCCGTGACCCCCCCGCCCTCCCACACCCCCCATCTCCAGAGCCTCCGGGGCGCGTGCAGAGTGCTTACCCCCGCTTCGGGCCCTCCCATCCCTCCATGACCACCTCCAGAGCCTCCAGGGCGCATGCAGAGCGCTCCCCCCGCCCCGCGACCCCCCATTTCCCCCCCGTGACCATCTCCGGAGCCTCCAAGGCATGTGCAGAGTGCTCCCCGCCCCCCGTGACCCCCCCACCCCTCCCCCCCCCCCCCAGCAACCTGCAGCGCTTCCAGCGCTGGCAGCGGCGCCAGGTGCTGCGGGAGCGGCCCCGGGGCGGCTGGCGGGCGCTGGTGGGCGTGCAGAGCGCCAGCAACCTGGACTGCCGCTTCCGGCTGGGCTCCCACAAGATGCTCTTCGTGCTCAACGCCGAGGACTACATGTACCGCCGGGGGGCCCTTTCCCGGGCCAGGCAGGTGGGTGCCGGAGTCCTGGGGGGGCATCCCTGGGCCTGTGTGTCACTGGCGGGGTGGAGGGGGGACCCCTGGCCCCATCGTCCTCACCCCGGGGGGGGTCCCTGGTGCTATGTGTCAGTGGAGAGGTGGAGGGGGGACCCCCTGGAGGCCAGGCCCCATCATCCACACCCTGTTGGGGGTCCCTGGTCCTGTATATCCAGGCAGGCGGAGGGGGACCCCCATCCCCATCATCCTCCCCCCAGCCCTAAGTGTCCAGGGGGGCGGAGGGGGGACCCCCGGCCCCATCATCCACACCCCAGGGGGGGTCTCTGGTCTTATCTGTCCCCAGTGGGTTGGAGGGGGGCCCCATGGAGGCCAGGCCCCATCATCCACACCCTGGGGGCCTCCCTGGTCCTATCTGTCCCCCGTGGAGGCCTGCCCCCATCATCCACACCCTGTTGGCGCATCCCTGGCCCTATGTGTCCAGGGGGGCGGAGGGGGGACCCCCGGCCCCATCATCCACACCCCGGGCGGGACCCCCGGCCCCATGTGCCCCGCCTAACCCCCCTCTCCCCCTTCCCCCCCCCACAGGCCCAGCCCCGCGTGCTGCTGCGCCACCACCGCCGCTTCGAGGCCTGGCACCAGCGCTGGCTGAGCAGGCACATGGGCCGGGAGGCCGGGCAGGCGGCCCGCGATTGGCTGCTGGGCGGCGAGGGGGCGGAGCTGCGGCCCTGCAGGACCACCGTCGAGACCCTCAGCGTCCACGGGCTGCCCGTCAGCCGCTACCGGGTGCAGTACGCCGGCCGGCCCGCCTCCCCCTGAGCCCATGTGCCACGGCCGGGGGCCCTCCCCACTGGGGGATCTCCGGCGGGGACGATGGGCCCGGGAACGCCCGCCCGGGGGGCTGCGGGGCTTCGCACACGTCAGAGACGGGCTGCCGGGGGGGATGGAGGAATGGTGTGGCCACCACCGGACCGATGTGCCACGGCCGGGGCACCCCCGGGACCCTCTCCCCGAGTGGGGGACCCTTTGGCGGGGACGATGGGTGAGCGATCCCCCACACCCCAAAGACGGGCTGCTGGGGGGAGTGGAGGAATGGCGTGGCCACCACCCCACCCATGTGCCCCGGCTGGGGCCCCCCTCCCCACTTGGGGATCCTTCGGTGGGGACGATGGGCCCAGGAACGCCCGCCCGGGGGGCTGCGGGGCTTCGCACACGTCAGAGACAGGCTGCCGGGGGGGATGGAGGAATGGTGTGGCCACCACTGGACCCATGTGCCCCGGCTGGGGTGCCCCCGGGGCCCCCCTCCCCATTGGGGGAATCTTCGGCGGGGATGATGGGCCCAGGAACGCCCACCCGGGGGGCTCCAGGGCTTCCTGCACCCCAGGGAGGGGCGGCGGGGGGGGGGTGGGACGGCGTGGCCCACCACCCGGCCCATGTGCCACAGCCAGGGCACCCCCCGGGGCCCCTCCCCACTGGGGGATCCTCCGGCGGGGACCATGGGCCAGGGAACACCCACACAGGAGGCTCCAGTGCTTCCTGCACCCCAAAGAGTGGCTGCCAGGGGGGGTGGAGGAACGGCGTGACCACCACCCCACCCATGTGCCCCGGCTGGGGCCCCCTCCCCTCTTGGGGATCCTCCAGCGGGGACGATGGGCCAGGGAATGCCCCCCACCCCAAAGACGAGCTGCCGGGGGAGCTGGGTAGCACGGCCTGGCCCACCACCGCACCCATGTGCCCCGGCCGGGCCCCCCCTTCCCCACTCGGGGGGGGGGATCCTCCATCGGGGACGATGGGTGGGCGATCCCCAGGCGCTGGGGCCACCACAAAGCCCATGTGCCACAGCCGGCTTCGCCAACTGAATGTAGTTTTCCATATTTATTTGCACAGCGATCAATAAAAATTTGGGGTGTCAAATTTTGCTGCCCGTGTGCTTTGTTTTGGGGGGCCCCCAGACCCCCAACTTATGGGGCCGTTCCCAGTTTGACCCCCCCCAGTTTATG